GCTACCTTGTGAAGACAGGGGTTCCTTCCAAGAAAACATTTTTCCCATGATTTTTATGCTTCAGAACTTATCTTGGACTTAACAAGGAGCGGTCTGGAGTACCATCTTAAAAGCAATTTCTGTGTCTTGAAGCAACAAAAGAGAAATTATAAATCCTCATCATCTTTTCAGGTGTAACCACCATTTCCTTTTGTTTGTCTAGTTGCTTTGACAGACTGATGTGCAAAGGATGGAGCCCTGTCCTTTGCTTCTTCCCCATGCACATTTACTTACAGATGGCTGCATGCTTTGATTTGACATGCACACCTATGCTTCATGTGAAGAAGGTCCTATCTAACCTTGTTTTGTTTGCTTTTAATGTGTTGCTTTTAATGTGTTACACTCTTAACTCTTTTGATATCAAAAAATCACTTTGGAGGTCCAAGTTTAAAACCAAAGTATTTTAATGATTCTGGCATTATAATTTTCCCTCTTTCATGTTATAGAATACGAAAATATTCCTGGTGGGTTCCCTGCAATATTCATGCTGACATTCAATGCTCATGAAGTATGTGACATACTGAAAATGTTAAATTTGGTCTCTTTGGTCTGGAGACTATTGCATATTATGTAACACCCCAGGGTTTTCTATAAATAACCAGAAATTTGTAACACTCACTTTGCTACTGTGTGTAATAGTGTTCTTTTGACAATGCATTGAGCTGGAAATCCAAACTTGCAAGCAAATGCTCTGAGTTATACTTTGCAAGAACCTGAGTGCATTCTGAGTTTTGTTGAGCAAATGATGACTTGTTTATTCAGTTGCAGTAGGCATTGATTGAAAATATATTTTTTAATTTTTGTGGAGATTATATATATTTCTCTTAGTTTTTTCAATAAAGCATAGGTGTAATGGAAGCTGCTGTTTTGTTATGATTTTTATAAACCTGTATTTGTACAAAGAAGTGGTGTCTTCCATCAGCTCAATAAATGAGGCTTTTGCCCATGCTTTTCCTTAGACTAGGCAGTGGAGTTGGTATTTGATTCATAAGCTTTTGATCCATACTTAATCCTAGGATGGCTTGCATCCAGAGCATGCAGAGCGATGGATATTGTGTACCTAATGAAGTAGCTGTTGGTGTACAGCACAGTAGGACACTCTTACGTTCTTAAACAGCAGCAATAGAGAATGTCTGTATTCCTTGGTGGGTCTCTGGGGAGAGAGGTTGAAAGAGCTCCTGAGAAGCAGGGCCCCTTCTGTTTGCTCCCTTTTCTTTGCAGTGGGTTTGCAGTGAAAGTAAAATTCTGTGGTAGGTTTTTGTTTTTTTATCCTAGAGCAATTTAGGCTGCACCATCATTTCACAGAAACAAAATCCCATAAATCAGGATGTGTAATTGCTCGTTTCAAAATGTTCTCTTATATCACTGTAGATCAGGAAAACATCCTCTGAAAACAGTGGAATTATTTTATTTGGTGAAAATATAATTAAAGAAAGAAGAAAGTAATGAATGTAGCAGCAATGAAATACAACTGGTTTTGGTCTTTCCCTGCTTATAAGAAAGATAGATTGTATTATCCGGATTGCATATGTGCTTATTTTCCATGTGTAAAAGCAGTCGAGCTCTGGGAAATTACTCAGAAGTGTGACTTGTTATGGCAAGCTTCAGGCAAATCTACTGTCCTGTTCCATTTAGTTATACTTTAAGATGCAGAGAAGGATCTAAGAGGCAAGAGTCCAAAGAAATGGTTGGAGGTTATGCTGGATCCAAGTTGCAGACCAAAGTCCTCTAGAAACAGTCCAAATAATCTCAAACTTCTTTGGAGAGGGCTTTTCAAAAACTGAGAAGAGTTGTGCAGTCTCAGCTCTTCTCTTCTGTTGTCTCCCCAGGAAATCGGAGGCAACTTTGCTTCTGCTGTCCACTTTCCTGATTTGGCAACTTGAAGAGGCTGCTAGGCCATTTTCTAAAACACTCCTCAGTCATCAAGACTGAGTAGGACATCAGAATCAGTAAAGTAATGTGAAAGGAGTGATAGGGAGCATCGACAATTCCTGTTGAGCAGAGGAAATGATAATAATATTCAGCAGATCAAGCCAAAATGGTACTGAACCTTTGACACTTTCAGAGATTAAGGAGTTACCTAGGAAGAATATAATTGCAAAAAAATAAAAAAAAAGGAAAAAAAAAAGGAAGCCTCAAAGCGTGTTGTAAGGTGGTCAATACTGTTGTTCCTGCTGTGCTGAAAGGCCAGATAAGCACTCAGAGTTGATAATTTGCCTGAAGCAGAGTGGAGGACTCCAGAGTGCCTCTTTAATGCCTTATTCACTCAGTCAGCTTCCTGAGAAGAATCGACACGGGGAGGGTTGGCACAATATATTCACATGGACAGAGATCACATCAAAGAGTTTAACACCTCAAATTGCCAAAGGCAAAGCAGGAGCACAGAGGGATGCATAATTTCCTTCTAGTCTCACAGCAGGTTAACAGAAGAAACATGGCTCCAAGCCAGGTGCCGTGCCTTGCTGACAAGCAGCATACCCCCCAGGTCAGGCTGACTCAGGGAGGGTGTGTGGTCACACTCTCTCCTCCTGAGCTGACACCCTATTTTCACCTAAAGGTGGAAGAGAGAAGTGATAATATGAGATACATTTACTTTGCACAGCAGTGAGGTTCTAGGAACAGAAAACAAAAACTGTCTGGGAAAGAGGAACAAACTAAGAAGAGAATTTAGAAATGCCATACCATGTATATCACATTTGGCAATTTGTTCTTCAGAGTTAAAACAATTTCTTATGTGGCCTTTGAAACTGTGAGGTTGCATGCATGAAGAAAGCATTGCCCTTACGTACTGAAAATTAAAAAAAAAAGGGTCTTGGAGCATTAAATCTGCCCATTTAGGTAGCTGACCAGCGTTCTGATGGAGATGGTTCTCCCAGAACGAAGCTGAGGAAATCAGGCTTAGAAATTTATATATTATTATGTGTGCAGGAATATAAATTAAGAATATTGACAATTTTCATTGTTTTCACTGACTTTCATTTGCTGTGTTCCCAGGCTTACATCTGAAGCTACATCTGTTGAGTTGGTAGTGGAGTGGGGTATAGAGGCAGACGGGCATGGGGACAGGATAAGCCAACTCCCCACATTGACAGTAGGATCTGCAATGATAGCCTAGTGTCTGATGTAAAAAATCCCTAATAGAAACAGGAGCTTCCCAGCATCTCTCCCAAAAAAGGAAGGAGCCATGTAGGGGTGGTTGTGAGCTCAGCAGGAACTTCCAGATCTCTGGATGCTTAAATCACATCATTATTACAGACACCTCTGGATTCTCTGATTAAGGTTTTCTTATTTTGCTTGGAAGGATTATAGATGGAAGGAGGATTAAATGATAAAGTGAATCATTGTGAGAGTGAGAGAATGCCTACATGGTGAAAGAAAGAGTGACTGCAGGAGACCTTTTTATTTCAGTGGATTGTGTGGAATGGAAAAATACAGGTTTAAGGCATTATGGTGCCTAACACTGCTCTTGCATGCACAAAGTTTGTGCGTTGTGCCTGGTTTGACTATGAGATCCTTGGGGTAAGGGCTGTGGGTTTTTTAGATCACCTAGCACAGTATTGCTCTGATCTTTGTGCAGTCCTGGAATGAAAGCATTAACGATGATTGTTTTTCATGGCAGAGGCTACAGCAGGCTGAATTTACAAAGTTTATCTGATTTAATTATCTTCTGCTTAAACAAAACATGTTCATCTTAGTTTTCTGTTTCTTTGTGGGTTTTGTGTGGATTTTGGTTAGTTTTTTTGTTTGTTTGGGTTTTTTGTTTGTTTGTTGGTTTGGTTTGTTTTTTTTTTTTTAATACAATATTCAAGTAAGAAGTATTCCTTTGCAGTATTTGACAGTTATTTTTGTGTGACTCAAATTAATAGAAATCAGAATGAACGTAGCCCCGACTATCAGATACATCATTACAATTGGTTTTTGACTGTTTGTTTCAGTCTGATAATTTTGTGCTTGGTTACCATCATGGAGCAAAAGAGAACAGGCCACGGCCTCAGTGGTATCAACCACTGAACAGCTCTCAAGCCATTTAACAGGCAAATGGAGGATCTACAAACCAGTATGATGAACCACCTGCTACTCCTTTCCTACTGTTCTTTCTTCTATTCTGCAGACACAAATTACATGAATCTGTATCACCAAGAAGTCTGCAGACTCTAGCAGAATGTCAGCCTTCAACCCTGCTGCATGTATAAGAAAGCAAATAGGAAACAGGAGAACTGATAAACTTTTTCCATTCCATTCACACTAACCTGAAAGATAATCCAGTTCCAACCCCTTTGCCATGGGCAGAGACGCCTTCCACTAGACCAGGTTGCTCCAAGCCCCGTCCAGCCTGGCCTTGAACACTGTCAGGGATGGGGCAGCCACAGCTTCTCTGGGCAACCTGTTCCAGTGTCTCATCACTTTCACAGAGGAAGTAAAGAGCTTCTTCCTAATCTTTAATCTAAATCTACACTCTGTCCTATCCTATTTGGCCACATTTAAATTAGCAGTTGTTTCGTTGAAAAAAGAATGGAAGCTATATCACCATTTCACTAACCTGTGGTCGTAGTTATAATTTACCTTTAATTTTGTGATTTTCATAATTTATAGCTAAGTTAAAGAGAATGAGCTACTCTGGAATTTGCTTTTAAGGCTAATTACATTCCAGGGGCAAATTTTAGAAACATTATTTAGACACCATTCTGAGAATTACATGTTACTGTGATTACTTCTTTATTTTACTGGGTTGAAATAGAATCCAACATCTGATTTGAGAATACTTTTGTGTCAGTATAGGCTGTTTTCTGACACCTTAGTGAGTAGACTATGTGAGTCTCATTGCTTGAACATGTGAGTGTAAGAGGCTTCTGTATAATAGGCTACAATTTTAGCTGAAGACGAAGGATGGGAAAAGTGGAATGGTGATACACTTCTATCAGCTTATTTTTTCTTTTCTAATCTCTGTTTTTGATTTTCAGGTGATGGAAATTAAAGGACAAATGATTCATGTGCCAGAATCAAATTCAATTTTGTTTCTGGGTTCCCCCTGTGTGGACAAGCTGGATGAACTGATGGGCCGAGGCCTCCATCTTTCGGACATACCTATCCATGATGCTACTCGTGATGTCATATTGGTTGGGGAGCAAGCAAAGGCCCAGGATGGCTTGAAAAAACGAATGGATAAGCTGAAGGCAACACTAGAATGCACACATCAAGCCCTGGAAGAGGAGAAGAAGAAAACCGTGGATCTCCTAATTTCTATTTTTCCTGAAGAAGTGGCTCAGCAGCTGTGGCAGGGGCAGCAGGTTCAGGCCAGGAAGTTTGATGATGTTACCATGCTCTTCTCGGACATTGTTGGCTTCACAGCCATCTGTGCGCAGTGCACGCCCATGCAGGTCATCAGCATGCTGAACGAACTCTACACGCGGTTTGACCATCAGTGTGGATTCCTGGACATCTACAAGGTAACAGCTCAAGTCTTAAGTTAGCAAAATCTAACTGAAACTAAAGGGGGAAAATAAAAACCCCAGTAGCCATCTTTCTAAGTCACATACCTTCTCTGTAAAACCATGAAGGCAATATTTTTGTTTTGCATGGAAAAAATAAATCTGAAATCACATAATGAAAATCAAACACTTTGATGCTGAGCTGTCATCATGGTTCCTCCATATATACCTCATATTCCTATTTTCCTATAGGCATTCCTTCTGTCGTATAGCCTAGTTTCCTTTAGGTGACACATCAGCCACAATGTCCTAAGGATGATGAAGTGCACAGTGATTATCCTAGCCCAAGCTGCAGCTCCTGGCTGATGCTCAAATGCATTCTGTTTCAGCTGAAAGTTGAATGGTTTAGTGTTTAGGTAGGTATCTTTTATCTGAAAGAATTCAAATTTTCTATAAAAAAGAAAGCATTCACAAAAAAGAAATTGTTATGAGATTTAAATTTACACTGAAAAATTGAAGACGACAACTAGTGTCCATTCATAGTAAATGGAACAAGTGGGACATGGCACTGGAGTGCCATGCTCCTTTACTGCCCTCAGAAAAGGAGATGTTGCAAGGGTTAGTTCTGTTAGCAACCTCATCACCTTCACTTCTCTTCGATGGACTTGGTGTCCATTATGTGTTTGAGAGAAAAGAGTGGGCAGGTAGAATTTAATAAATGCAGTTAAGATATTATCTGTATAATTATCCTGTGAAGTCTACAGAGAATGTATTTTGTATATGGAATACCTTTATTTTTGTATAGAAAAGCAAAGCAAATTTCCTTTTATAACTGAATACACCAAAGGAAACAAATGTAGCTGTAAAATTATATATTGACTTCATTTCGTGTCTGATGCTTGGAAACTAAATCACCAGTTTTCAAGCCGTTTCAAATAGTATTTCTTGATAGGCTATAGAGAAAAGGTTTATCTTTCAATTTTAGCCTGTGCAACACTTCAAAAAGCACCCAAAAATATTGATTACCCACTTAAAAAACAACTGTAACTGTAAAGTTTCAACACATACCACAGGTAGAACTGAACATGGTGTAGATATATGTTGGTAGGACAGTAGAGCAAAGTAAAAGATCTAGCTGTATATAAGTTTTATGCTCCTGGGCTAGTGGTTTGTTTTACTAATGTTCAGAAGCAAAAGGCCATGTTGGGAGAGGACTGCAATGGAAGCTACTAACCCTCGATTGAAAATTTTATCAGTGCTATAGTCAGAAAAGATTGGAAGTTTGATCACAGTTTGTATTGATGTGATGTTGCTTCACTTGATCTCAATCCAACTGTGAGAATAGGACTTGAGGAAATTCTGACCCACAGTCAAGAGTGATATCTGGTGACTCTGTTTCACATGCTGTATCCGGTACATGGGTGTAGTTAGTGTTTTCCCAGATGAATAATTTTAGTCATCTTTTTTGAGGCATTCAGGACATTCTTTGTTGAAAACCGTGGTTGCATGGGAATAGGAAATAAAGTATGTAAAACTCTATGACCTGTTTGGAACAAAGGTTGGTTGAGTCCTGTGAGAACACTAAGAAGGAATATTTATACATAGGTCAGGAATATTATACCATTCAGGCTGTGGCCTTCTGCTTTTCACCTAGCTTTGTGCTGCTTTAGATGATAGAAAGATGTTAACTGTATTGAAGTACTATCCTGACCTGTGAAATAAGATAATGGCTGCTGAGATGGGTAGTGTAAGATTTGTGCATTCAGAAAAGGAATAAATACTCCAAAAAGTTAAGACCCCCATGTAATTCTATGAGCAGAGGAATAAACAAAACCTAATTTTGTATGGAAGGATTTCTTACACCTCTAACACCTTTTCTCCACTGTTACTACCTTAATATAGCCAGTTATTTTCCAGATCCTTTTATCCTGGGTTTTCCTCCATCTCCCTACTCCCCCATGTCCCCTCGGCCTCCCTACACATCCCCTGCTTCCCTCCACAGCCCACTCATGAGCAAGGCAGTGTGCACTCTGGCTATTTTGGAGCTTATGTGTCTTTTTTCCTCTCCCCAGATCTTTTTTTCATATTTTTTTTTTTAGGCAGAAGTCTAAAAAAGCTGCTGTGGGGTTGAGTGAAAATGACTCAGTTGAACATTACAGAAAGACAAAACTCAGGCAATGAACCCTTTTTCTTTTCCTTAGAGAATCAGACTTAAAATAAAATGACAATTCTTTTGAAAAAAGCATTTGCACTCTTAAAACAAAAATAGCTTGTGTGTTTATATCTTTTTCATTTGTTTCATATGGTATTCTGGAAGGTAAGTGTATTGCTAGGAATGATCACCACCACCACCACCACAACTGTAATTTTAGAAGTTATTGTCAGGCAGTGAATTTTAGATATATAATCACCAGGATTTGTACCCACAGCCTGCCTCTAAGATACACTCCTGTAACCAGGCTACAGAAATTCCTCATGTATACACATCAAAACAGATTAGTTTTCAAATTCTCTTGGTTTTAAGCAACACAGCAAGGATAATTTGCAAAGATTATTTGGCAAGTACTTCTGAATACAAAATTCACCATTTTGTAAACAGAAAATTAAGCAAAATTCATTAAATAAATTCCATGCCGTAAATTTTTCACCCAGCTTTACTGTTAACAGCATTTTGAATTCAGAACCTCAGTGCTTCTAATCTTGGACTCAGACAATAGATGTATTTTTAATTGTCTCTTACTATTCATTCAGGGCTGTTTACAGAGAAGTATGGCACAGAAAGAAGAACAAAGATCCTTGCATTTAACAAGTCAGACATAGAGGGCAAACATAATGAGCTGTTGGATACAGAATAAGAAATTCTTGGAGGGCTGAAGGGGAATGAATTAGACTTTGAAAATTCTTGGAAAGGAAAGTAAGTAGCTATAACTGATGAGGTAGAGAAAGGATGACCAACAGATGAATGCATAGGTAAGAAAGATACATGGAGATAATGGGCTCAGAAAAGGAACTTCATGGCAGCATTTTGAATGGATATCAAAGATGACACATCACATTTGTCTAGGCTGAGGTAGAACATTGCCATAAATGATATGCATGATGATATGAGCCTGGTGACAGTGAGAGCAATTTGGAAGAATCTGTGATTTGGAAAATGAAACTTTGGAAAAAATTTGCTTACATATAGCCTTGATGAAAGATCAAGAGAGAAATCTTGGGGTAATCACAGCAGGGAGAGGATGTGAGAGAAATGAGACCTGGCAGTGCATTTGGAAACTGGTGCTGCTGACTGAGTTAATTATATTTGGCTTTGAATTGGGGAATGGGAGAAAAGATGCTGTTAGCAGGGAGTGCAAATCAAAGTAATGCAGGGGACATGCTTGGTAAGCTAGTGTCTGCGGACATGCAAATAGAAACATGGATTCCAGAAGCAGAAGTAATGGGAGAGAGAGGTCAGTAAATTTTGAAAGCAATTGTTTTGCATAAAATCAATACTGTTTGGCCAGATTATTTGTCTTTGTTTGGACCTGTTTTTCTGTGTATGTGAGTTCCTGTTTGTGAGCCAAGTGCTGCAAAACGATGCTTCAGCTAAAGCATCTCTTTATCAAATAAGCTATTTAGATATGATGCAGCCATGGCTGCTGGTACTTAAAACTTAACCACACAGATTGAAATCCTCCCTGCATAAGATTCCTCAGCTTCTGTTTCTCCTTCCAAGTAATATGCCTTTGACATAGAAACATTTAAAGTATTTTTTCTTATTGAATCCTTTTGCCTGTGTAGGCCTGCTTTGTTTCCCCCTCACTTTCCTTTCTGAAACAACCCAGTTTCCCTCCATCACCCTTTCACTACTGCATGGAGTAAAGGCAGCATGTAATTTTTTTGGCAGCTGTTCTTTTAGCCATACATGCACTAGCTGGGTGACTGTTTATGCTGACTGGTTAATGTCAAGCCAAATAGGGCAGAACCAGGCTCCTTTGTGTAGGTGTTAGTTTCTTTGTCTTTTCTCTGGACAGAGCAGCATTTGTCCTTGAAGACATTTGCACATTTTCTCATAACGGTAAACTTCACTTTCTGTGAAGTTCTGAGTTCCACTTTCCATGTCTAAGCAGATAGTCCTAAATGAACTGTCAAAATGTCTTTGCCATACATCTGTTGTCAAAATTTTAATTGGAAGTTTATTGAATATTTATTGAATAAGACAACATAATTCTGCAGGTTAATTTTATGGTTATAATTGACAAACTTGTTACATGAATTTCTTCTTTCTTTTGTTTTCATTATATCACTAAATTGATACTCCCTGAGTGGTGCCACACACAAGCTTTGAAGTCCTTTACCAGCTTCCTTGGAGTTCTCTTTGGTTATTATTGCTGGCAGCATTATTTCACTTACTTTACACTGAATGATATTTTATTTTTCCTGAATGATACAGCTAGCCTGTCAGATCTTCTTTTTCTGATTTTATACACCTAACTGGCTATTTTTTTTCTTTTGCTTGCTTTAGAAACCTGAGACTAAAAAAAGGTGGGAAGTCTGGACTGCTCTGCAATCACTGGAGACTGATACTCACCAGTTCTGAAAAACACTGTTTATACTGAGCTTGTGGTATAATGTTTTCAGGAACCTAATTTTAAATTCACATTTTCTAAAAATACTACTTACATTTTTACACTGGTAGTTGAGGTTTCAGAAATCAGTATAATTCTACAGAAAATACCAGTACTTTCTCAGTGCTATGACTATCCCTCCTTGAGAACTGATATTTGTACATATTCATATATATGTTCTTTAGCTTACTATCAGTGCTATAATGACTAAAGATTACTGCAATTAGAGGAGTCATGAGCTTCAGGCTATTCTGAGTGTTTTCAGGCTGTATGTTTTATCAGTTAAAAAACACAGTCTTCAAGTTTTCATGTAAAATCTATCACCACGATTTTTATCTTCTTTCCATCACTTTTGCAGTTTTAACCTTTTAAGTTCAGTGCAGCTACATAAACATTTTGAGAAGCTTT